CAATAAAAAGATTGACAGATTCTCACCAATAAGTTTGCATGATTTTTGGTGAGCGACACCTACCGCCGCCAGACATTTCATTTAAAGAGATGATTTGCCCACAACCACATGAGAAAAAGTTAATGCCAATAAGGAATTTAACACTTCCCTTAGACATAACAAAAATAAAAAGAAAAGGTAATCAAGGTACGCATAAAACACAGCAAGCTTCAAACTGTTGGCCCAAGGATTTCATTTTTTAAGTATCCCCATGATTTGTATAATACCACACATTTTAAAATGGACAAATAAATTCTACTTAATATTAACCTTTTGTAGCTCCACTGAGGTAAAATTACATTTAAGAAACCAGCTTTGTCAAGGAAAACCTACTATAAGAGGTTTTGTCCAAGGCTGCAAAAGTTCCCTTACATGAGATGATGGAATGAGTAAAAAGGAACAAGGTTGGACATTGTCATAAAATTACTGACAGACTTAAAATTGTTCTAGGCTTATACAATACAGTCACCAGCTGTAGAATGTTAATTATGATTGCTATATCAATTGCTACTTCACCTTCATGATTTGAAAGATGATGGTTGGATGAAATCAATGACATCATTAATTGTCTTGTCAATTACTCTACAATCGATGGGGCAACTAGTTAAAATACATTAATGCAAGATACTAAAACCCAGCTGGTGTCAACTACCATGGTTGTCTTAAACAGTCTTCAAATAATGCTAAGATTTAATTTAAGTCACTAATTTAAAGGCTTTCAAAATATGGTGATAATAACTACTAGATAAGAAAAGCCTCATCTCACAGTATAATAATTTGTTATCACTCTTGTTAAAACTATAAATAGACAAATCAACCTTGATATAGACTGAAGTTAGATACCAACAAGAAGCTGCTCAACTAAATTAAGAAAAATGTAACTTAAAACGTTTCCAGAGGTACAGGAATGAAAGGCTCTAAGTACGCACGCACCATTGAAAAGACTTTTGTCCAAAGAAAAAATCTAGTCTACGTTATTGAAAACATTTCCTGTCATAGGAAAATGAAAACTTAAAAAAACAAAAACAAAATTAAACATAAATAAAATTACTGCAGACCATCTACAACAGGCAATCGGTTGAGATCACGGCGGGTAGGAGCTCTAATGTCAAGAGCCAGAACACTCTTAGTAGAACGGGTCAGATGTTTGTGAGATGCAAGGTGCCCCTGGGCATGGACCCATTGCCAGCAGGAATGGCAGAAATAGCGGAAGCAAGAAGACTCTCTACAGAAGTAGGGACCATGCTGAACTGAACACACTGAGCATGGGGAGTCTTCAAGATACGGGAGGAGTTGCACTTTCTTAGAAAACTGATCCGTTTTGATTGTTACAAAACGTGAATTGATGGCTTTGAAGAAAGAGCGGTTGTTGTTGAAGGTCACTCTGGCAGATCCAATGGGATACTTGAACTTGTCAGTATCAATTCCTACAAAAGAGTACACTGCAATTAGCTAGAAGAACTTGATCAGATTAAAAATTGCAGCTCAGCAAGTTCTGCAAACTGACCTGCATACACAACACCGTCAAACAGATCATTCATGATTATGGCCAATCCATGAGCACTCAACATGCCATGCAGACCACCAACAAACACAGTCTTTTCGGGATCCAATTTCTGAGAGGGGCTGCGCACCCAATTTGTGTCACTTGTCATCCAAGGGATAACTTGTACATCTTTAGCTTTCATCCTCTTAGATGAAATTTTGAAGTACCAGTTCCCTCCTCCACTTGAGAAGTTGGACCGGCAAGACCTAAGTAAGGCTTTCACCTAGAAGAATAACAAAAATATTTAACAGATATATGAAATATGGTTTAAGGATCAGCATCAATTTCATTTGGGAGTTGCACAAAAATTGAAATTTCAAAGTTGCATGGGACAACTTGATAATTACCTGCTTTTCACATTCCATGATGATATAAGCATACCCTTTAGGTGGTGGGACACCAGGCTGTTTGCTAACAGGCCATTCCACACGGACCATACCAAACTGTCTGAGTCCATGTGCAAGCATTGGTTCAGTTATATCCCATGGAACTCCACCAAGAAACACCTAAAAGCCATTAAGTAAGAATGTTTGTATTCACAAAATGGAGAACTATAAAAGGTAAAACAGGGAAATGATTTCAGGACTCACCTTAACTGAAAAGTTGGGATTCTCAAAAGACCTGGTAGGTAGTGTTCCGCTCCAAGTGCAAGTAGCATCACAGTCAGCTGCTGAGACTACGTAAATGAAAATTCAGACAAAAAAACTAATTAAAATAAAAAATTTAGATAAAGATCAAAATTACAAGACTTAACTCACCACCACTCAAGCGCTGGGTCCTGTGTTGATCCAAGCTGAGACTGAGCCTGGCCATGGGGCTAGAGCCTGGTGAGGGGGGAGTGCTAGGGGTGGTCAGAGGCCCAGGTCCTCGCAATGGGCTGGACATATACAGGGGTGAGCCAGGCAGAGAGCCAGACATGGAGTTGGGCAAGGACCCTGGGCTCCATGCTTTGTCGGGGGGTGCCAAAGGCGAGGACAGAGGAGAACCCAGAGGGGACTGTCGACAAGATAATGACAGGGGTAAGACCACCAGGATAGTGGGCAGAGAGATATAAAATGAGGCACTGGAAAGATGGAAAATGTACCTGCAGCTGCTGATCATGTTGATAGTTGTACAAATTTGGATTATTGTTGGTCAGTGCCTGCAGGGCATGGAGATTGGTCAGGTTAGTCAGCTCCTGCTGGCGCTGATCACCATTACTAGGAAGGCCTGTAGACAGCCCTGAATCACTGCGATTGCGAGCATGACGATACAGGCAGCTCTGAAAAATTAGAATTACGTTAGTTCCAGATATGGGAAACCTTGCCGCACAGCGTCAGCCACATCTCTCACCATGAGCTCAGATAGGTTTGTATTGTCCACACTACCGATACTAGAGTCAGACTCGGGGGAATTTGATCGAGAATTCATGAGACGGCGCTCGTCGAGCGCCCTGCGCCAGTCTCTGCAAAGAAAACAGGTCAAAGGGTAAAAAACAAATACGTGCACGACAACGAGAAATCAGAGACCTGTACCGTTCAATCCACTTACGATGTGCTGGGCGAGAAGGGCCCCGAGCCCTGAGCCGTCGGGGAGGGGGAGGGCGAAGGAGACAGCGGGGGGAAGGTGCCCGCAGAGTCCAAGCGGGCGCGAGCGCGCGCCGCAGCAGCCACGGACTTCCCTGGCGAGGACATGTCGTGAGGCAGGGGGCTGCCGGGGTGGCTGGTCTGGTAGCCGCTGTCGTCTCCCTGCCGGCCAGAACAACCAATATTTACAAACAAACAAACAAAAAACTGGACAAGCGAAGCACTCGGCAAAGGCGGTGATGTGCCGCAGAGGCGAAGGGATGGTCAGCCAGCAACGGGCAGGCGGGCCCGCGGCCGAGCGCATTGTCGGTCACTGCGATACGGGATCATCGGGGAGGAGATCGGGTGGGATCGGGCACCCCTGAAGTAATCCACAATAGGGATGGCTCAGCAAAGCAACCCCCCCCCCCCCTCCTCCTCCTCTTCAACCCCGTGGTACCTGGCACCCACCCCGACCGCCCCTTCAACCCCTTAGGAGAGCTTTTGCACCCTCTCCCCTCGCACTCCCCACGTCACAGCCCCATAGAAGAACACACTTACCGAGAATGACATGAAGAAGGGGGCAGCAGGCGCGGTCTGCGAGTCCACCTGACCGCGGCCGCCGACATGGTTCCCCTGGAGGGAGCCCGACCCCGTCCCCGCCCCCACCAGGGAGCCGCGGGGCATGTTGAGCCCCAGCAGTTCAGCTATGGACATCAAAGACTCACCTGCGGACAAAAGCGAGACACACGTTAAATCCGACCAACAGAGAACTTGACGCGAGGCGGCAGCGTGTTACGCGTGCAGGACTTACTGTCTGTGCCGGGAGATCTGGGGAAAAGGTCGTCAAGGGTACCATCCATATAACCGGGGTAGTCCAATCGTGATGCGTCGCTACTTGATACAGTTTCTCCCGCCTGGAAAAGATGTTTCCGATAAGATAACACGAGGGCGCAACCACCCCCTCAGGATCACAGGACAATACCCCCCCCCCCCCCCCACACACACACACACACAGGGGCGGCGGCAGCGCGGCGGCTAAGCACGCAGCAGCGGGCTCGGCTCGCTCAGACACACCGATTCTGAGAAAGTGGTAGCGAGCAGAAGACACCCTCAGGGGAACAGGATGGGACAAGCAGGACGAGCAAAGGCACAGCAAGGGGCACGGATTGCGCAATAACTCCAACAGCAATGAATGCAATTTGGACAAGACTAAAAAGATATTTCCTCTAAAACCCGTCAATATACACGGTCAAATATACCGTACCACAACACATGGAGGTGAAGGTGAACCTCGGAACGGAAAATGAGCTAAACGTCACTTAAACATGCTGCCCGTGATAACAATCCCGATATCATTAGCCGCCCACCGAACACATGGCTACTACACCCATACTAACCCTCTCTCGCTCGACGAGGATGCGACAGTAGTCGGAAAAGGCTAGACGTGACAAATGCTTTTCGCGAAGAAGAAGAACATCGAAAACTATAGAAGTATTTTACGCAGAAAGAATTTTTTTGCCCCCAGTGTGGGTTGGATGAGGTTTTCCTAACGTAGGACTAAGAAATATGCTCAATAAAGTCAACAGAAATTTATGAACGAGTTCTCGCGGACAGATGAAAACAGTGATGCCTTCGATGATCTTGCTCTTTGAAGATTAACAGGCAACGAACGAGTCTACCCCTTCCAGCTGATCGTTAATGAATGAAATACCGGCGGTGCAGGCACCTAACACAAACAACAGGGTTTTCGATGAATAGATGAATGAAAAGTGATCGTATCTGGCTCATACTGCCTCGGAATCGGAACAAATTTATCCCAAAACGATACAAACACAAGGGGCCATGAGCGAAACGAAACGTATTCGCCGTAATGTTATATCTAAATATCTCATGCAGGTTACAGTCCACACAAACACGCCCCCTTTGACTCAGTAAGATGCAGTTACTCACCTGTTGCAAAGACGGCATGACGGATCCTACCCGACGCAGACGAGCTTTCTTCTCCTTTCGTGATATAACTCACTACCCAATAAAATATTCCTTTCAATTACTAAAATATGAAGCGGGGAAATGAGTCTCTAAAAGGGACCCTGCTAGTCCGGGACCAGAAACAGCAGTCACGTTGAGATAAAACTCGCTTTTGATTACTGGTTAATGTTTGAAATTAAAAGAAATATGCGCACATTCCTGCTCCCATTTGATTTCTTCCGACATACGTGATCATGTCCCTTCAAAAGAAGAAAGAGGAGTTACTTTACCGAGCAGTGCCAAACCTGGTGTGGAGCAATGATGGCAGTTGGGCTGAGGGAGCTCTTGGCTGCACTTCACCTTCCCCCCTCCCGACCTTCCTCCCCCCTCCCCCGTACAGCTGATATCTGACGTCACCAAGAGCGCAGCAGTGATTGGCTGTCAGGTCAGAGCTTGAACGCGAATGGATTCAAATTCAAATCTAGTGACAGCCACAATGGTAAACTGAAGGGAGGAGAGCAAATAAGAAATATCTTATGAGTGATTAAAAGTTTATCAAATAATTTTAACACACTCCACTAGGCAACAAACGATTACAGAAGTGATTATTTTTTATTTATTTTTTAAAACTATAAAGTGGATACACAACAACACATCAACTGCAACAAAATAATACAACTAACTTCTATTTTGGTAATGCCAAGAAAACACTGCAGGAGTAAGCACTTCACCCTTCAAAGACTGAAAGGGGGCAAGACATTTATTTTTATTTTCATAATTATTAACAAATGAAATGGAGTTCTAGTTGTCTCAGTCGCAATTGATGTGCTATGCAGAATCTTTATCTAAGGTTTGTGATGATGAATCATGCATTTCAACCTCAAAGCTAAGGGTTGAGGAATCTGCAGTGACATTGGCAATCTCTGAAACATTTACAGTGTCACTTATGGGGGCTACATTATCTGTTTCTTCATCAATGTTCATACTAGCATCATCAGGATTCTGATCATCATATGAAATTATTCTGTGCACTCGAGATGAAGAACCTTTTTTGCTTCTAAAAACAGGCATTTTGTCTGGGGCCCCTATGAATACAAAGACAAGAAATAATAATACAAAAACCACTGAGGTGCTAACAGTAAATAGAATTGAGTTTAATCTTTCCAATTGATACATACCCTCAAATGGTTGTGTGTCATCAACAAGTTGTTCGATAACATATGTTAGCATTGTTGTACTGAAAGTATCATCACGACGAAGACCCAAGGCTTTGTGAAAACAGTCGACAGCTTCCAAGGTGTTACCCATCATGGCATGTGTATAACCCATGGCAGAAAAAGTAGAAGGATTTAATGGCCGCAACACTAATGCCTGCAATAAAAAGAAAATTACTACCATTGTTTCTTAAACTTACAAAATGAAATAAAATGGAATTCAAAAAGTATTACTTGTTGGTGATATTCTAGAGCCATTTGAAATTTGCATCTTTTCCTGGAGACATGGCCAAGATTGTTTAAAAGTGGTTCCCACTTCTCAGCAACAGAGTCATCAATAGAGCGAACTAATTTAAGAGCATCTTCAAAGTGTTTCTCAGCTCTTTCATACCTGGTAAAAAAAACAAAACATCATACATGTTGGATTGGAAAGAAACAATGACATTTTTTCCATTGTCTGTTAACAGAAAAAGTTGAAGTCTTACTCTCTGTTTTGGAAAGCTATCACTCCCAGTTCGTGCATAACAAACGGGTCTTGGGGGGCAATATTTTGTGCTTGTAAGAAAAATTTGTCTGCTAGTTTGCAACTATTTGTTAAACCACATTCTAAGCCAATGTAAAGAAGAGGTAAATGGCACCTGCAACATAAGGACCATCAAATTAATAGATAGATAGATAGAGAAACCATTCACATATAGTAATGCTGCAATATCAAATAATTATATCATTTTGAATGGTCACCCTTTCATAAGTTGAGACGCCTTGAAGTAAGCAGACATTGCTTGGTCATGCTCATTCTCAGCAGCAAAAGAATGTCCAAAAGCAAGCCACGCTGGCCCAAATAGCCGATCAAGAACAGTGGCTTTTGTTAAATATCTCCTAGCAGGGTCACTTTTACCTAAAAACAACAAACAAAAGGAAGTTTTTTCAACTGAAAAATTACAAATGTACTCATTCTACAAATAATGATTACCAATTATATAGTAGTAGCAGCCTACTGCAAACCAAGAAATGGCCATTTCTGGATGAAGATCAACTAATCTATGAGCTAGGTAGAACAATTCTGTAAGAAAGAGGGACGTGATCATTAGATAGTTAGTCGACTGGTTTAGATTAATAAAATTAAATGGTTCTTGAAAATACTGACGATTGCTTTTCTTTAGTTCTACTAAACAGCCAATGTGAACACACAAGCAACTACTGTGATATGGATCTTTCTTGAGAACACTGGAAAAAAAAAGAAACACATCCATTAATGCACTTTGAATTGTTTTTCTTGACAGATGATTTCTTCGCAATAAGAATTTAATGCACTACTCACTCTTCTGTTAGCTTTAGACAGTGTTGGAATTTACAGTTGTAGAAAAGTCTTTCTGCTTTTGATACTAAGACATCCAAATTTTGGGGCATCAATTTGACAACAAGATTAGGCAGAGAATCAACAGGACGGGAAACTGGTTTAAGTGAGTCAGCAGAGCTTTGAGAGATGTCAAGGGCCAACTTGCCCTTGAAGACAGACCCTGAAGGACTTGGTGCTGCACCTGAGACTGGTGTTTCTGGGTACTGCCCTGGATATTTATTTGATTTTATTTCTGACAACTGCTGAGGGGAACCTTGGTATTTGTTTAACTTTGTTTCATAAAGCTGACGCAGAAAAGATGCTTCAGATGGTGTGCTGCACTGCTCAGAATAAGGAATGGAATCCAGTAGCTCCATTTCTAGAAAAGAGATTACATTAAAAAATTTATTGAAATCTAAATATCATCTGTTCAGAGAAGCAATAACAAGAACAGACCAACAGACCTTCCCAAGATGACAGCATGTGATGTTGAATAAGAGCTTCAAATGCTTCATAACAAAATACATCACATCGCAGGGCTTGTCTGTAACAATCAGCTGCTAATTCTCTATTGTCCATAGCTTCCAAGACTTGCCCCTTCAGAAATAATATACTACTCTGCAACTGGAAGTAAAGTAAGAGAAATAAGAAACACCTTCAATTTTAGAAATTATTAAAAAAAAAGTCAAAGTTTTTTTGATTTGCTCACATTGGCTGGGCATTCAGAATACATCATCCCATCACCCATAGAGTCTATACTTGTATTACGAGTTGTGCGGGACAAGCTATTATCATTCTCGACCATTGTAAGAAGCTGAAGAGCATCAGAATAGCAGCTGGCTGCTAATAAGCTTCTAACCGTCAAATAATGGCAAAGAGGATGAGTCTAAAAATTGATTGATTGACAAAGAATACGAAATAAAATAAATGAGAAAATATAACCACAACAATGCACCTGTGCACTTAGCTCTGAGAGAGAACAAACCTTGTCAAGCTCTTTACTCCGAATCAAATGAACAGCTCGATGATACTGTCTTAGGTGAAACATACATTGAGCTAGCCAGTACACGTCCTTAGGATCATCATTAGAAAGAGATACAACTTTGTCTGCCCAGAATAATGCTGCATTGTATTGATGCTGAATGTGGGTGAGAAAAAAAAAGTTATTATATTATCAACGCACATTATGATTTAAATGTTCAAAAATATTGAATTTATAGCCAAACAAGAAAATCAAATTGTACTAGATTGCTTGAAAGTGAAAGGTCAGAGAGGCAAAACAGAAAACACCATAACCTAAAAGAGGCATTTGAAGCAAGTAGAAAAATTCCAGTGAAATGAAAAGGCTCAAAACTTACTAAATCCAAATACGATCGGACCAATTTTCTGAGAGTGTCAATATTGACATGCTGATCGTTTATGTTTTTCATTTCACAATCCATTTCTCCCGCCCCCGCCATCTTTGTGACAGCCGGTCCCGGTCGTGTTTACCAACATCGACTATCGTTTCGATTTGTTTCAGCATTTCAGCAAGATTCGAGAGGGGGGGGGGGGCGAAGAGGCGGGAGATGGAGATGGAGATATATTTTCTCTTGTTGATTGAAAGGGAGTAACGCACAAAATTCTTTAATTCTTTTAAAAAAAATATATATTTATTTTGTTCTACATGAGAATCCAGAACAAATCTGTAATAATGTTAACAAAGTATTCAAAAAATAAATCATTCTTAATTTTATTACTCTGAAAGTAAATGAATGAATCACTTTGTTGGAGTGAATTTTGGTGACAACCCCTCCTCAGAGTCTGACTCTCTGACAGCAGAGCGAGTGATCCTCTTGCGGGGAGGTGTGCAGAGAATTTTCATGGCAGCAGTTGCTGGTGAGGGAGAATCAAACGATTCATCAGCATTTTCTGCTTTAGAAGATGATGGTCGTTTCCTCAGTTTCATTTGAGGCCTCTTAGGTGAAAGCTGAGGTGAATTGTTAACTGAGCCACCATCTAATGGAAAAATTAGAACGGGGTCAGTCTGAGTGGCTACATTGACCTTCTCTTTTACCTGCACTGACACACTTTTGGTCAATAATTTATTTTTCTGAGTACTATGGCAAAGAGGTTCGAAGGATGTATTATTTTCTGTACTTAACATAGTACTTAATATAGCTATGGGCCTCTCACTTTCTGCCTTTTCATTCACAGCTGCTTGAGAATCATCAATAATCTGACTATTCTCTGCTAAGTTACTGAATTGACTTTTTTCAGTTCCTATCAAAGTGACACCACTATGAACTGGTACTTCATCAAAGTGTGTCATGTCACCCAGGAAGTCAAAAGGCTCCTCAGAGCAATCCTGCTGTAAAGCATCTGATGGAGCTAAAGTTGTCTTCTTGACAATTTCTTCTGGGTTGGGGGTTTCAACAGTGGGATTGGGTTTAGGTGCGACAGGTACACTGACTGATTGCCTTTGCTCTTCACTTTGTTTGGATGTCTCATTATTTCTTCTAGGCTTCTTAACATAAGGTCCTCGAGAGTGAAGACCATCAATTGACCAATCGCTGTCATCACTTTCCCCTTGTTCATCATCATAGGAATTAATCTCATTAGAGGGATTATTGACATGCATACTAAGACTGCTGGGCAAATCTGTTTCAATGGTTGTGTCCGACTGATTGTCATGTTGCTCTTCATCTCTGGTGTGCTTCTCATTGTAATTTAGTAAATCATCATGAATCTCTACCTGTTCTCCTTGACAAAGACCTTCCTGTTTATCATCTACGCGTTCTTTTCCTCTTTTCTCTTCATCGTCTAAGAGTTCATCTTCACTTTGGTGATCATCATTTATTAACCCTTGTCCTTGACATTGGTGCTCATCATCTAACTGTTCTTTTCCACTTTGCTCTTCGTCATCTAACAGTTCATCTTCACTTTGGTGTTCATTACCATGAGATTGTTTCTCTCGGGGCTTGTTTTCATCCCGCTGCTCATCTTCACTTAGGTGTTCATCACCACGAGATTGTTTCTCTCCACCTTGAGGCTTGTTTTCATCTTGCTGTTCATCTTCACTATGATGTTCATACATTTCCTGGGATAGAGCTCGTTTCTTCTTCAGCACCCTAAAGTTTCTTTGTTTTGCTTCAGCCTCCCTTTGATGCCTTCTCCGCAGGATATCTAACATGGAGGGTCCTGTTCGTTTCTCAGAAACTGGACTGAAGTCAGGTATGTGTGAATTCGGAGAATCAAAGTTATCAGGTAAGGTAAAGAGCTTCTTTCTTTTTTTGCATGCTGTTGCCTCATGGCCCATTTCTTTTACTTGGTTTTTAACTTTCTCTGACTCCCTCTGAGCTGAAATTTTCTTTTCCTCGTCTTTCATCATCTCATCTGTCTGTGACTTGTCACCATCAGAATCTGAACTAGTCTCTATGATTGGAGATGTTTTTCTCTTTCCAGGGGATTTTTTCCTTATGGAACCTGCAAAAATCACAGACAAAAACTTAGGATGGTGCATTTTGCTAGACAGATAATTGTTAGTTTGGTTTATAAACAAAAGAAAGGCTGATGAAAAGTATTCAAAAACTGTCTTACTTGATGGTGAAAAAGGAGTATTCCGCAAGTACTTTAAATAACGTTCCCTCACAGAATGCCAGGAACGACCTAAAGGAGCAAATAAACTTTTTGTAGACAGTACAGAACTTAAGATATATTTACTTCATTTACTTCATAGTTAATAGGTCCCAGGAGCACAGAGCATAGGTACTCGGTCTATTACTCCATGATGGAGTAACAGACCAAACTCCATGTTGTAAAAGAAGAGCATTTACCTGGTAGAGTATTCTTCTCCTGCATTTCTTGCCAAAAAGTATTACCCCCTAATTTGGCATTTTTGCCCTTTGCCGACACATATTCCAGAATTACTTCATCATCATCTTCAGTATATTGATTACTGAAAATAAAAGGTCAGTTTGAGGACAAGGATGAGTAAAGAACAATATAAAAAGGGCTAAAGATCAAGTACTCACGATGGCACTGGTTTGCGCTTTATAGACATCCTCATACCCTTTCTAGTTTAAAAGAGGAAAATATGATTAATAATAAAGGAAATATATACATGCACAACACAAAAAGTATAGATATGAAAGCATAGTTCAACAGACCTGAATCTCTGTACTTCATTGTCTGGCAAGCCATAAGTACTGGTACCAATGAATGGCATAATTTTTTTATTGAAATGTTCTTTCAGACTCATCCAAGTGTGATTGGGGAATTTCTTAAAAAAATAAGAAAGGTGACAAAACTTGAATAAATTTAGAATTGATTAGGTCATAAGGGGACAAACACATTCATGAATAAATTAAAACTCACAACACTCATTCTTTTCCAAATAGCTGTGCCTCTTAATTCATCATACCCTTTCTTATCTTGCAAAAATTGCACCATTTCTTTTCTCTCTTTTGTCGTAAATTCACAGCGATATCTTAAAAGGTGAAAAATTGATTAAAGAATTAGATAATTTGACTTAGAAAAGAGAAAAGTTTTAATGTGACAGTATGCAAGTGGCGAGTATACTTTGTCGTTGTTCTTGGTCCTAAAGCTTGGGTAAGAACTACTTTGTTAGATCTTGAACTGCCATTGCTGACACTAGATGCTGACAAACTGTTTCCTGGTAGGGACAATCTTTTGGTGTCTGGCTCTTTATGGTTGGTAATCAAGCTAGATACAACAAAAATAAAGATCAATTGCTTGTACTTCTAACAAATTGTAACTATCTGCACTCTTTACAGAAAATAAAAACATTAAAAACTTACAGTTTCTGTGCATCTTCCCAGCTTAATTTCTGTTGGAGGACATCCATAGCATTGAATTCATCTTTAAAAATACTTGCAGAGCTACATCTGAAATAAAAATGATATTAACGTGTTAACAACACTCAAGATAATCCTTGAAATAATACAGTAAAGCGTTAGACAAATAATAGGTCTACCTAAACTTGTTCAAGTCAAATAGCTTATTTTTTGTACAACATTTCGTAATGTATTCCGAAGAGTACACTTCAACATTCCCTGAGAGCTCGGAGTCAACATTCTGTGATCCTGTAAATGTGATGGTATGCGGTCCTGTGGTATCCTTTTTGACTTTCCCTCCAGCATGCTATAGACGGATTGAACAGAATTAAGAGATTAGAAGTAGAAGAAAGAACTCTTCAATGAGGATTAAATAAAGAATTAATCACAACCATAGGGTAGTAATAAGAAGCCAACCTGGATGTAGTCTGCGAGTTCCTCCGCATTCAGGCATCCCTCGACGTTAAAACACATGGCAGCACCATTTTCCGTGACGAATAAATCGTTGTCGAACGAGTACGACATATTGATACAGAGATCTCAGGCTATTTCAAGAAAAACATACAAGCAAGATACAACTTACTTGAATGAAATTGAACAACAATAGTAGAAAAAAAACAACATAGCGAGTGCCACACTACACACATACACACAAAATTTAAAAAAAGATTTCTAAGTTCTCTACAATGGTAAAAAAACAAGAAAAACTTATAAAAACTTTTAAAAGAAATTAATACATTCAAAATCACTCCGAATAATTGTAGAAAGATCCTTATGTTTCAGGTAGTTTTCGCTGAAGAATTGGCTATCCCTGACTCCCTTTCCCGCAAGCTTTTACAGCCTTCCTGCTTGGTTTGTTTGGGTTTGAGCTATTTACCCCCCCCCCCCCTCCCCCACTCCGTATGCCGTCAACGGAGGCCATTTCTCAGGGGAAATCAGTGTTAAACTTTAGTTGAAAAATATAGAATTTAGCCAAAATGGCTGATCCGCTCAGTTTACTCAGGCAGTATAATGTTAACAAAAAAGAAATTATTGAAAGGGAAAATCAAATCATTTTCGGGGAGTTTTCCTGGCCCAAAAATGTGAAAACAAACTACTTGATGTGGGGGTATGTATCTTGGTTATGTGTTAATGTTTGTTGTTTTTATTTTTATCTACTTGAGCAAACTAGTTCGGCAATTTCAAAAGCCACACACCTGCTGCTTTATCGAAAACTTCCATAGTTATTTAAAATTAAACGGTTACGTCAACGATAAGCTTTTGTATTTTGTAACCTCAATTAACTTTACATTCAAAAGCATTTTCAATATGTCATTGAATTTCAATTACTTTGCTGATCTTTCATGCTTTTATTGCCTGGTTCTATTTAGAAGTTATGCTACTGTTTTTTAAATATTAAGTTGCTTGTGTCTGTAAGTTGTCATCTAGCATGTTCTTCCCTAATTATTAAAATTTTGTATCACCTGCTGACATTGCACTGTCATATATTTTGTTTGATCGTTTTTAATTTAATTCCTTTTATTTCAGTTCTGGCAAAGATGGAGCTCCCAAGGAATATTACACTTTGGAATGCCTACTATTTTTACTCAAAAATGTTGGACCCTCTCACCCGGTTTATGTCAGACAAGCTGCTGTACGTAACCTTGCATCTACTGCATCATTTTTACTTTTTTGTGTGTTTTCCACTTTACTTTCATTATTATTTCTAGGCTGAAAACATCCCAGTTGTACGCCGTCCAGATCGTAAAGATCTGTTGGCATATCTCAATGGAGAAACAGCTATTGCTGCCAGTATCGATAAATCTGCACCTCTTGAGATTCCAACACAAGTCAAACGCACAGCAGAAACAGAAAGTGTTGAAACCATGGCAAAGAAGCCACGGCTAGAAGAACTTCAAGTACAACGAGTGAAAGAGCAGCTTGCTGCCCGTCTAGATGCACCTAAAGAGGCTTCAGTCACCATTGACAACATCAAGTAAAGCAGCCTCATTCTTAGATAATCTACAGTAGGTAAAGGTCTGAATGAGTCAATTGCTAAATATTGTTTTTTTTTTGCAGATCTTTGTCTGAGGCTATGTCAGTGGAAAAAATTGCCGCCATCAAGGCAAAGCGTCTTGCCAAGAAGAGAACTACTATCAAGGGTACTGATGAACCGGGCTTGGGTTCAGATCTTCGAGGCATGCTTGATTTTGATGTAGATGTAACCAAAGATATTTTGTCAAGAGAAAGACAGTGGCGAACAAGAACCACAATCTTACAGAGCACAGGCAAGGTATAAAAGATCACAGTCTCACAACTGTTTTTTGTTGTTAACTTGGTTTATGATTTTACACTTTATCAATTTTGTTCAGATGTTTGGTAAGAACATTTTAGCTATCTTGGGATCTATCAAAGCTCGTGAGGAGGGCAGAAACAGACCACCACAGCCCACACCTGCCATTACTCCAAGAGCAACACCCATGCGAACTGTGCCTCAACCTGCCATGTACAACCGTTACGATCAGGAAAGATTTATCCGACAAAAAGAGGGTAAAGGCCTTATCTATTTACTAACCAAGCATCTGAGTATTAAGTGTAATATAATTGAAGCTTTGTTATAATATCTTTTTAGAAACGGAGGGCTTTAAAATTGATACCATGGGTACTTACCATGGTATGACACTGAAGTCTGTAACTGAAGGAACTCAACCGAAGAAGCCAGCACCCCAACCCAATCCTACCATGCCAGCCCCTCAATCTCAGGTACCTTTTATCCAGTGAATAGCTGGCCATAACATAAATATTTGCTGAAGTTCTAACTCATTACTTGTATTTTCAGCCGCGTGTTGGTAATAGTATGAGTTCTTTACCAGCAAATAAGCGCCCATCAAGAACACCTATCATTATTATACCTGCTGCAAATACATCACTCATAACCATGTACAATGCCAGGGATGTTCTACAAGATCTAAAGTAAGTGTCAACCCTTTTAAAACTATATCACCACCTCCATTAAAGCTCAACATTAATATTTTTAATCATTTCTACAGGTTTGTTAGTACAGAAGAAAAGAAAGCACAAGGTGCGAAAAGGGACAATGAAATTTTACTGCAGAGAAGAAAAGAAGGTGGTTTAACAGTTCCTTACCGTATAGTTGATAACCCAGGAAAGCTAAATCCTGGAGACTGGGAACGGGTTGTGGCAGTGTTCGTCATGGGGCCTGCCTGGCAGTTTAAGGGTTGGCCGTGGGGTGGGAACCCTGTTGAGATATTTTCAAAAAGTGAGGACCACATATTTGAATCTCTTTCCTAGTTTTGATCTTAAACTGCAGTTGTGAGTGATCCTTTCTCTCCATTTTTTCTTCCCTCTAGTTTGTGCATTTCACTTGAAGTATGATGAAATGAAGCTGGATGCCAATGTTGGTTCATGGGCAGTTCATGTGGTGCAACTGTCAAGAACAAAGAGACATTTGGACAGAGCTGCCCTCATGGTCGTTTGGGAGAAATTAGACAAGTGAGGAATTATACCAAGTGAAAATGTCTGTATTGATGTTAGCAGATATAGCAATTAATACTAACTTCTGTTCCAGGTATATGGTTAAAGAAAAGCCCCATCTTCGATTTTAGTTTGTTTTAGAATTCTTATTGCAGCCTGTTGTAAAATTTATTTAAAATTAAAAACAATAATTTTAGTTTTTGGTCAATCCAGAAGTTTATTGAGACTCTTTTTACTCACATCAACCTAGAGAGCACAGCTCATCAATTTTTTCACCACACAATAAATACAAAATAATTTGTCTCATACAATTGCACTTCAGTATTGAGGTATTTACAAACTCAAGCATCACTTTTTCCAACTTGAATTAATAGTCAAACATGTCAATCAAATATTTCACATAACACTTAGGCATGTTTTAATAGATTTCTTAAAATACATTATCGAATACAAGTGACTAGATAATTTGTCAGTGACACAAACTGGACTAAGCCGCAATTTATAAAAATTTGCCTCCAAGAGCCAGCAAGTTAAAAAGAGAAGTCTGCAGCAGATGTACGACATTGTACACTGTAAAAACAAACATAATCACACACATTTTACACAAATATCGAGAATCGCGAGACACTTAAGACAATAAATCGAAAGCTGTAACGGATCAAGCTATTTACACATAATTTTTTTATCTCGATGGCTACAAACGGCGAAGGGGACCCGGAGCGAGATCATGTCCCCACTCAAGAAGTCCAATTCCGTCACAATATCGGAAGCTCGTCGGCAAACATCTGCAACGACGTTTTTTTTAAAAAATAGGGGTGGGGGGTGGGGGTTGCTCACGCGTACGACTGGTCGAGGGATATGAACTTGGTAGACGTTATGCCCTTGTCGACCCAGTTTCTCAGGCGGCCCCGCAGTTCCTCCAGACTTTTGGACTTGGCCTTGTTGATGCGCTTGTACTTGACGTCCTTGGGCTTGGTCACTGACCGGTGGTTGCTCATGACCCGGTTATAGGTGACGACGTGGTTGGGGCTCGGCGGCACCCGAGGTCCGTGGCCGTCGCCGAGGCCCGGGTCCGTCAGCACCTCGAGGCTGCCGTACTGGTAGCCCACGCGGCTGGTGGCGGTCGAGCAGCTTGACTCGTCCACGGAGGGGGTCTCGTCGATGGAGGAGTTGGAGTCGCCTTTGCAGCTCTGGCTGCTGGTGCCTGCGTGGGGAGAAACGAGGGCGGGCATGGTTAGAGATTCTAATTTACCAGAAGGGTACTCGTTCAAAATTAGAGAAAAATCTCTTTATTTTTAACTGGAAAGTTTTATTCATTTTCCATTTTATTTTAGAACATTTCTACT